CGAGATCCTGAGGCCCATTGTTGTGCCATTCATCCACGACCATCACCTCATGTTGCAGCATGATAATGCACGGCCCCATGTTGCAAGGATCTGTACACAATTCCTGGAGGCTGAAAACATCCCAGTTCTTGCATGGCCAGCATACTCACCGGACATGTCACCCATTGAGCATGTTTAGGATGCTCTGGGTCGGCGTATACGACAGCGTGTTCCAGTTCCTGCCAATATCCAGCAACTTGGCACAGCCATTGAAGAGGAGTGGACCAACATTCCACAGGCCACAATCAACAACCTGATCAACTCTATGCGAAGGAGATGTGTTGCACTGCGTGAGGCAAATGGTGGTCACACCAGATACTGACTGGTTTTCGGACCCCCCCCAGACCCCCCAATAAAGCAAAACTGCACGTTTCAGAGTGGCCTTTTATTGTGGCCAGCCTAAGGCACACCTGTGCAATAATCATGCTGTCTAATCAGCATCTTGATATGCCACACCTGTGAGGTGGGATGGATTATCTCGGCAAAGGAGAAGTGCTCACTATCACAGATTTTTTCAGATTTGTGAACAATATTTGAGAGAAATGGTTATTTTGTGTATATAGAAAATGTTTTAGATCTTTGAGTTCATCTCATGAAAAATGGGAGCAAAAACAAAAGTGTTGCATTTATATTTTTGTTCAGTGTAGCAGGGAAAAAAATGAAGAGCAGCTGATTTGAAAAAGTAACTCGAGAGACGGCTGAGTGACCGCAGTGCAGAATCGCTGTATAGTTTAAATCTCCTAACAATGTTGTACATTTTAGACAGAGGCTTATTATATTTACAGCCCTTAATAACATTCATTTTCTGGGCTCAATATGTGTCTTAGCCGTTTTCGTTAAATTCACCTTGTTTATAATATTATCACTCCCCTCACTCCAATGACCATTAGACCATTTAGTAAGGTAAAAAACAAAAAGCAAAAACGCCTCTCAGACGCTCTTCCGTTTACTTGTTGAATAAAGAAAAACAAATGGTCCGTAGATACACGGATTCATCTCCCTCCATCATGTTGATTTGAATCAGAAGTTCTGAACATGAGCCCGCCCCGCTCGACCTTCTGAGCCAATCACAGCGTGATAATGACCTGCCTTCCGTTTCAACCATACTCCTTCCGTTTCCACTATACTTTCTCTCTCACACATACATTATTCTCTTGCATACATATATTGTCTTCAGACATACATACATTCTTCTCTTGCATACATATATTGTCTTCAGACATACACACATTATTCTCTTGCATACATATATTGTCTTCATACATGCATATATTATTTATAATATTAAATGTAAACATTGAATGAATGTGCATGAGAGCAAAATGTATAAATATGAGCATTAAAATATATTTGCAGGTCTCCCTTGAAAAAGAGATCTATGATCCAGAGATGGGGACCCGAGTTTGTGACTCGGACTCGAGTCGCACTTAAGTCGCACACACAGAGACTTCAGACTTGACTTGGACTCCTGCTCAAAATACTTCGGACTCGACTTGGACTCGTGTTTTGGGACTCGTGAACAATCATTGTGTTTTCTATTTTTGGCGTATTAACATTGAGGAAACTCTGAAAGTCTGACGGGCGTCATTCCTTTTTTTCATGGTAACCATGGTAACCTCATTACGCAGGTGCGCGCCTCTCGCACTACCTCATGGTAACACCATGGCGACCGGCGGCACACCTGCAGCTGTACCGCTTGTAATTAGGTTCAACTATAAAAACTTCGAACAAAACGCCGGCGGCACCAACAAAAGGAGCGCACACTGCAAAGTCTGCAATATTAAAATCAAGGATGCTGGTGCAACAACGTCAAATTTCATCAGGCACTTGAAAACTCACCCGGAGAGGTCAGTCACATTAACGCATATGGACGGTTAGCAAACATGTTTAGCTCAGAATCAGCTATGTAATGTTAACTTAGCTTGCTACTAGCTTTGTAACTGAATATTTGAAAAGATGAGTGAATGTTTGCTTGTCACACTTGTTTGCGTTGAGTGGCGTTGACATCCAACTCTTGACATGACATAAAAAAGGTCGGTAACGTTAATCATTACGTTCCGCTGCCACCATCTACTGGCTAACGTTAAACGTAGAAAAATACATAGTTACATACATAAATACATCTGTCGGTTTATAGGCAGGTTACAGGTTTATTGTTGACCACGTAACGTTAATGTTACAGGTTTATCAGGTTACCATTACACTGGGTTTGAGTGAGAGGATAGAGGAATATGTTTATTTATAGTAGACTTAAAAGATGTAATTAGAGACCCAGTGCAATTAAACAATACGGTTGCAGAGGTCACATTTTTACATTTTTGTCCACTGGCCAAATGGCTAGCCTAGTGAATGTTGAAATGTTACCAGCCACTCAATAGATTGCCATTGTTATTTGTGGCTGGTGCGTGCAACATACAGTACCAGCCACTTGCATGATTTACCAGCATTTGGCTGGTAAATGGTGTTAATGGTAGATATCTCTTTTGGAACAGGTCATGTTTTAATATCACCAGTTCAGTATATTTCAGATAATATTGCAGCAATAGTTTTTTAGTTGCAAATGGCACAGAACAAATGTTTACTTTGAAGTACTTTTAACACAGTTTCCCTGCGGGGGATTAATAAAGTATTTGTGATACTGATTTCTGATTCTGAAGTGTTTTGCTTATAAGTTGTTTGCATTTAGCTAAAGTGTGATGTTTTTCCTCATATTGCATTGCAATAGCCTGTTTAAAGTGATCATATAACAAACAACTAATCAGTACTGATACTGTATGCTAATAGATATAGGAGTGATAATAATACAGTAAATGCTTTGAATTTCTTAGATATAGCTGTGCAGTATTCTTAACAGACTGGATAGCAGCAGACAATAGAAGGCTTATTACAACCAGAAGAGACATGAGACTTTTATTTTTTAGAGACTTGAGACTTGACTTGGACTCGTGACCAAAGACTTGAGACTTGATCAAGTCTCACCCCACAAAGACTTGAGACTTGACTTGGACTCGTGACCAAAGACTTGAGACTTGATCAAGTCTCACCCCACAAAGACTTGAGACTTGACTTGGACTCGTGACCAAAGACTTGAGACTTGATCAAGTCTCACCCCACAAAGACTTGAGACTTGACTTGGACTCGTGACCAAAGACTTGAGACTTGACTTGGACTCGTGACCAAAGACTTGAGACTTGATCAAGTCTCACCCCACAAAGACTTGAGACTTGACTTGGACTCGTGACCAAAGACTTGAGACTTGATCAAGTCTCACCCCACAAAGACTTGAGACTTGACTTGGACTCGTGACCAAAGTTGCATTAAAGATTAAACCCAAAAAAGTGGTAAAAAAAATATTTTAATATAATGTTTTTATCAAAGTCTTTTGCAGTGGACATTGTTGTCCCGAATGGTCAATTAGCGTAGTCGATTTGTTACACAGTGAATTAAATGCCCATTTGAAAATGTTTAATTGGAATTCCAAAATAGATCGAGAACATAGCCTTGTTATAAAAAAGCAGGCCATTGTCACCAACACAACCAAAGTTATTGCCAAATGAAATGTGAAAAATGTTCAAAAACGGGAGGGTTAACAAAAATAACCAATAAATATATATAATATCAGGACATAAAACATAATAGTAAACACTTAAAACAAAGTGTATTAAGTTGTTATTATATGCAACTGATCTTGGTAGATAGGGTAGAAGATGCAGAGAATAAGACGAGGTACCAGCAACCAGTAGGGGGGTCATAGAAACCTTTGTATACATTGTTCAATGATCGGTTATGAAAGTACAGCAACATACTGGCATTCATCTTCTTTACAAATATAATGATGTTATTATGCGTAATATAGCAACTAACAAATATCATAGAATGAGATTCAGTTTTAAATAGCATAACGTGGACAACTAAAAATCGTATCTAAGAACAGTACTCAAGTAAATGTCCCCCACTGTATGGTGTGTCCAAACAGATTAGTATCCAGAAAGACTACAGACAGAGGGAGACATACATGTTATTGTGAAAGATTACATGGGAAGTCAACTGCCAACATTCATTTGGTTTTGGACAATGGTTCCTCGTAAATGCTTTCTGCAAATGCTCCTGATGTCCCTCAGAGACTTCTTGGTGAGGGCAGTAAACGGATGAGGGCCCTCAGCTCATTCCTGTCACTGCTATTTATCAAGAGTCCCCACAGAATGCGCTCCTCCCTTCAGAGGGTGTTTACAGTGAAGCCCGAAGCTACTTTAACTGCATGAAAGCCAGTTGTCATCTCAAGCATGGCAGCTATTCCCCGTGGCCTGAGTCCCCCCCCCCCCCCCCCCCCCCCCAACCCCCTTAGTGTGGAGCCAGTTTATTTCAATGGATGAAATGGCCAATGGCCCCATCTACAGGTCACAGAGGAAAACTGCATGAGTGGCTGTTTCTATAAAGCAGCGGTCTCAAACTCCTTTTAGTTCAGGGGCCACATACATCTCAAGTGGGCCGACCAGTCAAATAATAGGATTATAACCTATAAATAACAACAACTTGCAATTTGCCACCCATTCACATGAACATAAGTTACGCTTCCATATTTTCACACCACATATTTTAATGCCATTTCACCCCAGCTGTGATAATTTCATTATCACTTACTTGAGCAGTTATTTTGATCATCAATCTACTTTTTGTTAAGCCAATGGTAAGAAAATCACAAAATATATTCAGTTAACTATATATTTAGCAGACAAGCTAAAGCCATAGTATCTTTCTTTCATTATAAGTTGTTGAAACAAATATTTATTAAAATATGATTTTCTTTATATGTTTTTGATCAACTAATTTGTTCAGCTCTGTTCCCCTGATTAAATAAAGGTAGAAATAATAATAACAGTGTGTGTTGTTTGCTCGATGTGAAAAGAGGATTTGCTGTGAAATAAAATCCGTACTGTATTGCTCTGTTTGGGATGTTTCAGGAATGACTGGATCAACGTTGGCCTCTGTTACCCACAAGGCACCACTTTCACCGTCATCGCTGACATCCACAACCGCCTGACCAAGCAGACCCGCAAGACCGGCGTCTTCATGAGAACCACGCAGATGGACAAGGTCAACCACTCCCAGCTGGCCCGAGGATACTACTACTGGGAGGAGGACACTGGGTCAGACACACACACACACACACACACACACACACACACACACACACACACACACACACACACACACACACACACACACACACACACACACACACACCAGGCCCGAAAACTGTTGGTGGCCCATGCAGTTGGTGTGCTCCCTGTTATCGGGCCTCACTTAGTATCAAATAAACACACACAGAAACACAAATACAAACACACAACACTACATTAGTTTGCCTCACAAAAGAAAACGTTACTTATAAACCATCCTAAACCATAATAAAGGAAGATGTTGCTAATGAAAATCGAATCTACATTTTTTCATGTATTAGGGAATTGTCTTCTAATGAAGACTTAGTTTTCATGTAACTATAAGATATTTGCTGAGAATGATGTGTGGAGATTTATATTTATGAGATACATATGTTATGATTATTCAAAAGATGATATGTGTTTATAACAAAGCTTTCCTGTGTGTTGCAGCCTGCTCTTCCTGAAGGTGAAGGCTCACAACGAGAGGGAGCAGTTTGCCTTCTGCTCTGCAAAGGGCTGTGAGAGGGTGAAGATCACCGCCGTCATCCCCAAAGGCAGCCCCCCCAGCAACTGCATGGCCCAGGCCTACCCCCGACACGCTGAGATGCCCGTTGTGGATGTGCCCATGCCCAGAAAGATACCTAATGCCAGGCTGGTGAGAATATATTTCACATTGCTGTAAACAAAGACAGTTGTAGTGGTGGTAGTGTTCATGCCTTCAGAAGAACATCAACCCTCAAAGGCATGCAAAATCAATATTACACCCATCTTACACCCTATTGTACCCATCTTACACCGTAATTACACTGTTATTACGACCATATTACAAATGGACACAGCCTGTCAAATTAATGTATCCTCCAGGATACAGAAACCATTTAAGGGTTAACTAACTCGCATGGTAGTATTGTCTCAATTTTTTGCTGAAAATAAGAAACAAATAACAAAAAAAAAGAAACGACCAATTGTTTAAAGCTTCGTAGGCGTATCCGTATAAATACAATGTATGCAACCTTATTTACATCCTCTTCAACTCTGCATCCAGCCACTGTCTTGCTTTTGTTTATTTGTGTTGCTACTCAAATCTTCATTTCCCTACAGCAGTCCTTGGAAATGTAAAATCATTCCCTTAGCTCTGTGATTGAAAGTGTGGCGAGTGAGTGTTTAAATTGCTTCTGTGAAATGCCAAATGTTGTGCATTAATTCCAACTCTGTTTATCTGCCTGTTTACTCTCAGCGATCACCAGAACACTTCCTGGAAGTCATCCTGGAGTCCTACAGCACTCGGTTCTTCCACATCAAGGAGGACTTTGCCTTTACTGAGGTATCATTTTGTTGTCATACACACAGCACATCAGTAGAGTTACACACACTTTGGTTGAAGACTGCAACCAATGGTTACGGGCTACAGAACAGAAATGCTGACAATGTAGAATATTTAGAGAGCATCATAGAGGCACACAATTTCCCTTGTGCACCCATGACATGTAGCCACTTCAACAAGAATGCAATGTTTAGTTCTGTCCTTATAGATCACACTGTAGTGTAATCGAGTGGCTCTGTTGTGACAGGTGAACGGCAAGAAGATGTACCAACCAGAAGACGGGGTGCAGCTGACAGTAATTGACGGGAATGATGGGAAGTTGGTGGAGAACAAAAGCTTCAGGAACTCCATCCTACAGGGCATCCCTGCACAGATAGACAACTACGTCAGCGGACTGAGAGACGGGTAAACACCAGTTTCTGTTCAACTACAATACATTCCGCAGCAGCATTTTCAGTGGTGGACAGTACCTTTACTACTCAAGTATTGTTTGTAACTTACAAATTGTAAGTGCAAAAAGAGTAACCTGCACTTTACTCCACTACAACTCAATGGGATTTCAAAGAAACCCTCTCTGTCTCTCTTAACCTTTCTTCAGTTCCATCGTCCTCATTACGTCCAAGGGCCGGCTGCTGACCCGAGGACCCTGGACCAAAGTCCTGGAAAGACTTGGAGCAGACAAAAGTATCAAATTGAAAGGTATCTATAACTTTAACAAGGTCTACGGAGATACATTTGCCCAGTGGCTACAATGTACGTTAAATACATCGATAAAAACATGTAGCATTTTCAACAGAAACGCAGCTGATGGCCCTGTTGTTTTATTGGTTGCATTTTAACCAGCTCCAAATATTACTATTTGAATATTATTAATTGTCAACAGTTGTAAAAGGAGACAACCTGGCCGCCAAAACTGTCTTCGTTGAATTACAAGTACACATCCATCAAAAAACTGCAGAACCAAAAGGAAGGACTACTCATATCTGATCAAGCAGAAGGACATTCATAGATCAATGCTAAAACACCCTTGCGCCCTGAGGACTTCACTAGCTGTTTTTGTTTTTCCTGCAGATAAAATGGCTTTCGTGGGCTTCAAGGGCTCCTTCCACCCTGACTGGATCCGTATGGAAGTAAACTCAGAGCGAGCCAAGATCCATCAGGTGCTGCCCATCCCTGTGGTCCACAAGATGAAGCTATGAGAGTGGGGAGGACAACCAAGAGACTAAGTAGCCCCCAGGAGATACTAAACACAATTACACCCCCACCACCACCACCTCCTATCCCCCCAAAAATGCACCCACTTACACATACACACTACCAGCACTGCATAGTCAGTTGCTCCAAGCCATTGTCCAGGACCAGTGGTGTGTTTTTATTTTAAGTTTGGCAGTGAGAAAGAATGATGTGATTTGGTGTAATGTAAAGGGGATTAAGCTGTCCCAGGGCCAGCGATGAAGTGTGTCAGAGTGGGTAAGAGATTCAGTAGAGGGAGTCAAGGTTCAACACATTCTCTGGCGGCCATATTGTATTCTAACAGCTAAGCTAACAGTGGCACAGAACAGACCAAGGAAGTGCGTTGGCAGTAGAAGGGCATTTTTTGTAGTGTCCAAACGGTGGTACTACATCTGTCGTTTCAGTCCGTGATGTCGTTGACCCAAAAACAAGTGTTCCAATTGACTTGAACTACCCAGTACAACGACTTTTATGGTCATTATTTACATCATTGAGTCTAGAAGTTATAACATGCGCAAAAATCTGAAGCCAGAGTTATTTTCCCTCTATTCATTTGAATGAGCCGAGAGCGGGTAATCGGAGGCGGCCCTTAAAGACAACTCAAGTAGTCTAGCGGCCAAAGTCGCCGGTCACTCTCTGAATCTCCATTTGCTCCATTTTGGGCTTAATGCGCCACTGAGCAACTTTAACAGGAATGAACAGGGTCTTGAATCCGACTGTGTTTCAAGGTCTCTTCATACATCCATGGATTAATAGGCCTGATTGTTTTTCCATAACATTTTATTGCCATTGACATCCCTAATAGAAGTATTTTGTTGACCTTATTTTAGCTTGTGAGCTAAAGTAAATATTTGTTCAACATAAAGGTGCACCTTGTAAAGCTTTGATATAGAAACATAGACAGTCCTCTAAAAGACTTCACTATTGATTCACCCCAGCAGTCTGACATCTACAGCCACATGTTGATCAATCCTGTGGTGTGGTAGTCACTGTTAGAAAGAGCTGTTTGGTGATGTATATGGTCGAGCTTTGCATGAAATGATCTAGTTCCTATAATGTGTTGTTTCGAACCTGTCTAAATGCAAAATGGAAGCCTTTCAGTGGAGGGTGAAGACTTTGCAGAAGGGCGAGATGTGATAGTTTTCAAAGTGTTGATAAACACACTTTCGGCCATTCTCTTCTGAAAGGCATTTATTGCCTGGAACAGAACAGAGTGAAAAATGATAAAGTCTCACACCTCTGCGAACACCAAGTCAATCACTGGTTGAATTGGAGGTGATTGTTGGTTGTGGAAAGTCACAAACATAGTCAGCGTGTAGGTAGGGAGACCATCAAACCTTTTTACTCCATACTGATGGCACAGTTATACGATGCTGTGAGAAGATAGAAGTCATTGAGGGAAGAATGAAACAAAAGAGAACTGAGAGAAATGACAGTGATTGGATTATTACACTCCAAATAAGGGAAGACATTGGCAGATATAGGGTATAGTGCTCAACGAGAGATTGAGTGTTTAAAAGGAGAAAAATCGGCCAGATGCCCCTTCCTCGACCACATCCTTCAGCTGTTCATGGTAATCAAGAAGATTTGGCAGGCCTGATGTATAAACCCTACATCATGTTCTGGGTGAAATACCTCCAGATCAAAAGCCTCAACTAGCTAAATTGACTTCTTTCAAGAACACCTATGAACAGACAAAGCACATGGAATAGGGAAGGCTACGTACAACCAAGAGGGATCCTCGATGGAGAGAAACTCCCTTTGGAGGAACACAGGGATTTCAGCCTTTGTAGTACTTTTACATGCACACCCCGAACGCAAAGTGAGGCCTTTAAATGCAGGACTTTGACTTGAGTATTTCTAAAACTGTTGTATAACTACTTTTACCGAAGTAAAAGAGCTGAGTATTATGTCTCGTAAAAAAATAGTTGTATAATTGAGGTTTTATTAGAGGAAGATAACCTACATCAACAACAACAAAAATATTCCATTATTCACATTTATTCATTTATATTGATCATTTAACAACAAATATTTCCAAGAGTCTGTTTCCAGCCTGGTTGTTTGGTACTTGTTTAATGACTGGCTGATTCTCCAATAGACCGTCAGTTGCTTGGCGTTTTGATGATGCGACTGCAAGCCTGTATATGAGCAGAGGGAGCAATGCTATGAGCGTGAGCCAGCTAATCTAACGCATGTATAGAGTTTGTACTTCAGCGAGCATCTTCCCATGCAGGGACTCTGTGGTGTGGAGTGTTTCTTTGCCTGCTTTGTTTGACAAAACTGTTAAAAGAGAGAAAAGAGAAGAAGAAGAAACCAAAAGAGAAACGTTAAGTGTTTTGCATCCAGACCCGTGGTTGTTTACCTGCTCTGTTTCATTCCGAGCACTTGATATTGTGATGTTCTCCTCCAATGTTTTTTCTATATCTGTGTTTGTGATCCATCCATCTGTGGAGTGAACCAGCAAGAAGTCCATCAAAATATAAAAGATTCAATTAAATGTTAAGTCAAGGAATGTTTAAATGTGCAATTTCCTCTTTTCAAAATGACAGAGATCTTTCTTTCAATTTGGCGGTACAAATAAATCCCCTCCCCATGCCGAAATAGCTGGTCTTTTTTCGGATGTCGTCACAGTAATTTAGTGTTTTGTATGTTTAATGTGTTTTTAAAAATCCACAGATTGCTAAGAGTTATATTTTATACTTATTTATTGTACAGACACAGTGTATCCAATCTACAAGGGCCAGCTTTTATTTGATGAACATACCTGCATTTGATACTTCATACTGTCCTGTATGTACAGTAAGAAACCATATAGGTCCATTTAAAGGTGTGTAGCAGACACTCATACTGCATACAGGAATATAACACTTGGCTTCTTCTCACTGTTCACTTGGATGTGTTGTATATGTGGCTTGGGCTTGTAAAGTAATGAAGCTCCATGAATTTGAATTTCTTTCAGGACTTTTGTACAGAAATAAATGATGTTTGTCTGAACGACGCTGTGTCTGCACATGTATTTATCCAAAACAAAAGCAAAATACCACAGTGTCTTCTTGAGAAAAGTGTAATATGTGTATCATGTTTCCTACTCTCAGCAGCAGGTGGGGGTAAATCACAGATCAGAAGGACCAGGGACTATTTACTCACTGCATTACACATAATATTGCAAAGCACACAGCAAAAACAAACAAGAAAATGGGAAGGTTGTAAACTGTACTGTGGGCTGCTGTATTTAAACAACTTAAAAAACTGATGTCAGCCCCCACTTCAAGTAAAAAAGCAGAGGTCGTAGAAGTACTCAGATCTTGTACTTAAGTAGAAGGACGGGCCACATTTATAACGCCGTGCGTAGGATTCACGTGGGAAGGTTGCTTATGTACAGTGGTGACGGGTCATTAGGGGCAGGTGCCCCACCTAGTGTCAGCAGAAAGTATTAAAAATAATGATTCCAAAAAAATGCAGAAAATATATTAAATATATTTTAAGATCATGTTTAATCATCTGATTCGTCTGTACATTGCTGTTTTAGTCTGTGTTCTTGTCATTAGTGTCTACAGTGTGTGCCTATTGAGCTGCTTAGAGCCATGTGGGACAAAACCCGATCATGCCCCTCCCTCTCACTGTCTAAGTGAACGGTGACTGTAAAAACTACACTGTGAATGCTCAGAGTATTGTCCTATTTAATGTGTGTGGCAAAAAAATGGTGGGGATGGCAGCTCTATAGCTGCCATCCCCACCATACGTCATCTCACATAATTCAGAGCTGATTGGCTGTAAGTACGTGTGCCGCGAAAAGTGTGGTGTGTGAAGAGGAGATGAGAGAGGTGCATCCTAAAACCAGGAAGTAAGCTGCGCATGGCTTCCCTCCACAAAAAAGCAACAAGATTTCTCCATGGGATTTTAGAAAATAGCTCAAAATAAGATCTGTGGGAAACGTACCTGTTACACGTTTTGTTCAGCCGGATAATATCCACATGTCTACCCTACTTTTATAATTTTTGAATCATAAATCTATCGATTAGATTTATGATAGACTTTTGAAACTACAAGAAGATAAGGAGGACTTTTACAAAAAAGTAATAGACATTTTTGTCCAGAAGGATAGGCAAATGGACTTCATCTTCATGTCAAGGTAAGATCACCATTGTATTGAAAATGGGATCTTACTAAGAGAGAACAATTCAATATTTAAATGATACAATTACATTTGTTGGGTATTCTTTTGTTGAACTGTCTGTTTAAAATTAATCGAAGCATCAGACAAAAAAAGGTTTTGAAAATAATATATTTTGATTTAGGTCAAAATATAATATTTGTAAACCAGAAGAGTCAATGCCAGTGCCTCACCAGCCATGAACCTCACTGCACGTCGATGCAGAAGCTTATATATAGACATCTAAGTTTGTTGTGCCCCACCACTTTTGTACATATAAAAACGCCACTGCTTATGTAGTAGAAATCCAAAAAATAGGTACAGAAATGTTCTGACATTTTCCGATTCACCAAACATTTGTGCGTACAGCACTTCCTACGCCGGTTTCCCTTTATAAATCACAATCGACTCGAAATGCGGTGCAGCTTTTGCGGGCTTCACGTAACGCCCATATTTGCCTATAAATAGTCAAAGAAACGCCCATTCATTCATTCATTCTGACTGACTTTATGAAGAACATCGCAGGAGATGACGACAGAACAGCTAAAAAATACATCTCACACCGTGTCAGAATTTGGTTCTTTTGGGGAGGTGGAGATAAATCATATTGTTTGGTGGATGCAGTTTGAACCAGAGTAGCAGCATGGAGGTCGGATCGTCACCAAAATAAATAAATAAGTGCAACTCTATATCCACCAGTTAAAGGAAATACAACTAATGTGTTGTGTTATATTAGCTGTACCACATATGGTGTTCTTAGTTTCCATACCTCCTGTGTTTTATGAGCGACTTATCAAGTCTTAGCAAACGGCATAAAACACGATTAAACATGATAGTATATAAAACCATGCTCGTATCTACAACCTATAGAAATGCAAAAGGGCGTCAGTTTCAATACCACTGGCCCAGGAGCAGTCCTTAAACATACCTTGTCTGAGCAGTCATGTGGAGCGCTCTAATACCTGGCCCTGGAACAGTGGAGAGTCCCTAAACAAGCACAAATCTCACATCTGATTTGCTACTTGAATATCATATGTAGATAAGTATATAGCCACTATAACTAGCTACTATATATTTCTATAAAGCAATTGTTCATATGTGGTTTCCTAAAATAATTATATTGTGGTCATTGTTGACGGTGACTATGAGTTTTATTATTTTTAAAATGCGCTTTCTGCCTTCCTGTGGTTATCAGGAGGTAGACATATAATGGCTAAGTAATGAGTTATAGTAGCCTATAACATTCATTATCCTAAACTGCTGGGACATTTCCCTCTACCGAATATACCTTTTTATGTTCTACTCTTCACTGACTTGTCAGCAGGTCAGCATCGATGTACAGAGCCAAAAAATACCTTGTTTATATTGGCATCATATTGAAGCCAACTCCACCTATCAAGCCAGCGTGGCTGAAACTTTCTCTCCCTCTCATACTCCCTGTCACTCCTCCGGTGACAGCTCTCTGCCTTTCATCCAATACCGACGTCCGCCTCACAAAACGCTATGTTGTAGCAGTAACAACAATTTAACAAAACTGCTTGTCAAAATACCAATACCACAGGCCAATGTGAATTTTTGTCTTACTGTTTTTGTAATATTTTTCATGTAAGTGGCCGAGCAGGCAAGTGGAAGGTACGTTCAGCTGGCCCGGGGTGTTTAGTCAGTGCCTCCGGGCCTGAGGGCCATTTATAATGAGATGGAATTGAAAGGATCGACATCATTCAGCATGATGCATAAGGTGATGTATCTATGTACTTAAAGTGATATTTAGAAGTGGAAATTAGAGTGCAATTCACTTACACACTGCAATGGGACACATGGACAGCAGTACAAAAGCTATATTTTGTATTACCTTAGTATAGAAAAAGAAGTTTCTTCACAGGCCTGACTGAACAGAAAAACCATGACAGTTACCAGACAACTCACACCTTTTTGTCCAATAGATTTCCTTTACTCAGAACTTAGCGCTGGCCCAGGATGAACACAGCCAACCAGATACTTTACAATGTTCAGTTTTAGACTACACAATGAAGGACATCTCATGTGATTGTATAAAAACGAATTTATTCTCATATTGTGTGAAAAACCAAACAGAAATGCAGGTGCTACTTGTGTGTGCAATATTGAAATGCTGCTGGATGTGAACAAACACAACACACACCAAGAGCGGCAGGTCTGATCAATAACTAGAATGACACTTCATTCACTCAACATGGCTCTTGGCACAGAAAGAAATGAAAAAGGTTTATAATTGTTGCCACGAGTACCTTTCAAAACAACATAAAAAGCCATGGATTTCATCTGACGATATTGGGACAACAACAAGTAACTAAAGGAACCAGACAGCACTGATTTTAAAGAGCATTTCACTCTGTGGCAGAAAAATGATTTCCAAAATGTTCCGAAAAGGCATGGTCACATGCTCCTGCAGCCCATCACCACGGGACAGAAGACCCTGTGAGTCCTCCTCACTCTGCGTGCCGTTCCATCACAGCTCCTGTTTCAGATGGCCGGCGCTGTTTCCCTCCAGGTCGGGCTTCTTGCTCTCAGACTTCTTCTTGCCCTTCTTCTTAGTGTTGACTTCATTAGGCTGCTTGTCTTTGCTGTCGTCCTTTTTGCCTGCCTTCCCGGGGAACACTTGCCCCTCCACGGTGACGTCTGCACAGCGCTCCTGGGAGATCAGGAAGTCTTTAACCTCCCAGGCGTAGCTGCCGTCCCGCAGCATGAAGATCACCCTGTTGGAGCCCACCACGAACCTGCAGGGGGACACGGAGGAAACACAGAACTCACATGATGCTCCTGTGATATGCTATGTTGGAATAACAAGTGAAATGAGTTGGCACTTCCTGTCTCGAAGTCAACTGTTTTTTGTACATGTTTTGGGTTAGACACCAAAAATAAGGTCTGTGGTTACCACAAGCTGACAAGGTTCTGTTTTCTGACAAAGTACAAAAGTAACGTACAACACTCTTGAATATCTGAAGCTTTTATCCTGGTTGCTAGTAAGTGACTAAATGAGACTACTAAACATCATGACGTCGAACATTAGCCACCTTTAGCTTAGCGGTGGTGATAAACTATAGGGAGGCGTGTGGCGCAGTGGGTTAGTGCGCTGGTCTTCGAATCAGAGGATAGCCAGTTCGAACCCCACTGCAGTCAGCATGTCGTTGTGTCCCTGAGACTCTTCACCCCAAAGTGCTCCTGTGGGGATTGCCCACAGTATTGAGTATGTAAGTCGCTTTGGATAAAAGCGTCTAACAAGTGACATGTAATAAACATGACCGTGATGTAGTTTGTTTATAGCCTTATTATTAGATCTTTACGTCTAGATTTCAATAAAGAAAATCAGTAAATATGGTCAGATTATGATAATCCTGCTGAACAAAGCATGTAAATATATAGTCAACAGTGTGTTTGCTACAGGTCTTATTTTCTGCTATGTTCTGAAAAAACCCAATGAAAAATCACATTGCTTTTGGTTGAAGGAGTCCCCATGGCAGCTACCTGCAGTGTGTTGTAGAGCAGGGGTGCCCACACTCTTTCAGCTTGGGAGCTACTTTTAAAATGACCAAGTCAAAGAGATCTACCTACAGGGCCGCCCCTGCCCAATCTGTGGCCCCACGCAAAGTCATGAGGCCCTCTGTGCCGCGAGCATCGTCGTCGTCGGGGGGGGGGGGGGGGGGGGCTAGTGTACTGCGTGTGCCGGATCCTCGCAGCAGCGGAGAAACTGTGCTTACACCAATTGCGCCGCATGAGCGCATAAAGGTGGGCCGCTTTTGCACTTCAGATGAGGCTCCCTCCGCGAGGTGAGGCCCCCACCCACACTGCCTTTGCGATGGACGTACCCCTGGACGTATTGGGCACCCCTGTTTTAGAGTGTAATTAGTATGAATTTCATCTGATTACAATGTAAAAAGTGTATCGATCTATAACCACACGCTTGCAGAAATATGAGCCAGGGTTTCACTGGGCTTTCTCATTCACACTGTTGAAGTATATCTTGTTTCAAAGACTTTCAAAACTACCTTTAGTTCATCAGTGTTTGAAGACTGAAGATGTCCCTCCACAGAGACTACATGAATCTGTTAACCACAGTTATTGTGGCATCACTCGAGTGTAGTGCTGAACAACTTATGTTCCATTTTTTTAACCAATTCGTAATTATTCCCAAATAAATCAACTCCAGGCCTGTATTGGTGTCATCACTGGCATGACTCAGAAAGCATCTAGGAAAGCTCCATTGGAAGCCATTTGGAAAGGGCAGGCACTTTCAAAAATACTTAGCAGGTGATTGGATATAGGCTTAGTTTGTCTGGGGACATCTTACTTCTTCCTTCTCTCTGTCTATACCTGTGTACTCTCATGTTCCGATTAACCCAGCTTCCCCAAATGTCTTTCTTTTTGGTGTCTATATACGCTGGGATCCGGAGTCATGGATGATCCTGCGGTCCTGTGTCCTGGATCGCGAGCCCTGGATCTTGAGTCGTGGCTGTAGTCCTGGATCATAGGTCCTGGATGGATATCCTCGTGGATTCATTTTCCTATTATACACACATGCATTTCCAAACATTTGGACTACCTAAGTTTTTCCTTGTACGATGTGAGGGTCTAAGGACAGAGGGTGTCGTATTGTCATACTGATATTCTGTACAAACTGTGAAGTCCACTGAGACAAATGTAACATTTGTGATATTGGGCTATATAAATAAACATTGATTGATTGATTTAATCTGTCTATCACCTTCTATCATGGGCCACTTCTGATTGGTTAACAATGGCTGGTACATGTGGAGCACAGCACTTCTGATTGGTGTGGATGACTGACACACAAGAAAAAGAAAAGAAAAAAGTAACAAAAAAAAAGTTTGCAGTCTTGGCGATTTTTTTATTGCATCATTTAAAATCGCGATTTCGATTTAAAATCGATTAATCGTTCAGCCCTATTTAAATCTAATCGGGGTCGGCCTACAAAAATACGTCATCACTGCACCACTCAATACTTTTGTACTTTAGCTTTACATTTGCAATGCAGGACTTTTACTTGAAACAGAGAATTCCTACACTCTGGTACTTGTATTTTGACTTAAGTAGAAGCTCTGAGTACTTCTTCCACCTGTCTGCCAATTTTATTTTGAACACTTAGTAGCTGTTAAAATGATTAGTTAATGATTGTCCACATTTAAAAAATCCTTCATGGTGACCAAATGGACTCTGCAAAGTGTCACTTGATGTTTAAGGAGGTCAGACAGTAGGTACCTCTGGATGTCGTAGTTGGCGTTGAAGAGGCTGCCCTGCCACAGGCCAGTGAGCTCCTCCGTCTCCTTCTCAGTGGGCTCCCCCGACACTGTGGCAAACACCATCAGAGTCTTCCCCTTCTTGGACATCTTCAGCAGCTCCTGAGGCTTGGAGGGGTCCAACTTGGAGAAGTCAATGGGAGGAGGAGACCTCTTGTGCTCGGGGAGGTCCCCTTCCTCAATGTCATCGTCCTCCTGCGGAACATGAGGAGGAGCAGCCCTGTACGGTGAGTCATCAATGCATTGTCCAAAAACCTTTGAATGACATTATCTGAATATCATAGCTGTGTCTTTTTCAAACTAGTTCATACAATACTCAAAGTGTTCCTGTGTCTTTACATCTGTTTACCGACATACAGCCCAGAATGGTTCACATCCAAATTCAAAACACTTCATACACGTGTCAAAATCATCTCTGACAGAATGCTTATTTTTTCAAATATTGCATACATGTATGTGTATTTTATTAATGACCTTTGTGCATGTACATTAAGTGCTTATGTTACATTGTAATGTACAACATTTTGAGAAAACTTTGTTTAGATTTGTGTTAGCTGTAAACGGTCTATCTCTGGAACTCACTACCCCAATCCATCAGAGACTCTTCCTCCCTCACAGCATTCACAACATCACTCAACAGCCACCTGTTCAACACTGCATTCAACCACTGACCCCCCCTATTTTCTGTTCTGTTTATCTCTTTTTGTATTTCTTTGTTATCTATTTTTTTTTCTTCTCTTGTCTTTATTTTTCTTAACTCTCTGTCAAAGCGTCTTTGAGTTTCATGAAAAGCGCTATAAAAGTCCCATGTATTCTGATTATGATCTGTTCTTCAGTAGTTCTGTGTGGAAGTACTGACGCACATACTCCATTCTGACTGTTAGAAGAAGTATTCAGATTATTTACTTCAGCAAAAGTAGCAATACTGCAGTGTAAAAAAGACTTGGCTACAAGTAAAAGTCCTGCATTCAAAATTGTACTTAGGTAAAAGTAAAAAAGTATTAGCATCAAATCATACTTTCAGTACAAAAATGCAAAGGTACTAATAAAAGTGGGGCATATTTGAACTACATTTTAAAATACTGGGTTGCTTAACCTATGGTAATATATGATAATGTATTAGTTGATTTCTATTTTGCATTTATAACCTAAATCAATAAAGTAATTAGTAACTAAATATGTAAAAGTATAAAGTAGCATTATATGAAAATGTTACTAGTAAAGTAATTTGTATGTACAATACTTGAATAAATGTACTTAGTAACATTCCACCTCTGCACAGTTACATGTTTCTGATGATGTTCTTATTAATGATGCTAGCTACATGCCTAGCTAACAGCTAGGCTAGTTGTTAGCTTGTGTTTGCCTGAGTGAAAAGCTAACATAACGTTACCTCCCATTGTTCCAGGAGCCGCGCCATATCTGCATCATTGTAGTCTCGGATATCCTTCTTTTTCTTGGCCTTAATTTGACTGTCTGTCGCTAATATACAAAGCATATATGTGCAGAGAAGGAGCACCACACATCTCCACCTGAAGTCAGACGCCATGTTTACAGATGGAGTGTTGTCATTGGCTGCACTCTGCCGGTCACAAGACGGGAGGGGCGTGTCCCAGCTGTAAAAGCCTGACCAGCGGCGCTCTCACCATGTGAGGGATTTTCAAAATAAAGCTAAATGAAACACAATGCGTCACACTTTGCCCCGTTTTCTGTTGATGTATGTTATATTGATTGTTAAACACAAATGTTTTGTTTATTTAACTTGTTCATTCCTTTATAGAGCGTGAAGCCTTTTAAAATAGATATCTATGAATAGATTAAAGGTGAATACTTAAATGATGAGGATAGCAACAGTTTATCAATGTTCTAATCTATTCCATATACATTTTGATACATACATTGCCATTTTCTTAATGTATTTCGTTTTTTGTAAAGCACTTTGAATTGCCTTGTGTTGAAAGGTGCTATATAAATAAACTTGCCTTGCCTTGCCTAACATCACACTTTGGATCAACACACATTACATTGTTAGTAGTATACATTCATTGTTGGATTGGGGTTGCTAATAAGAAAGACACATGGAAATGAACCAGAATGATACATTAAATTGTATTTTTTTTACCCAAAGCGACTTATACATTATACTTATACTTATTACATTCAATAATGTGGGCAATCCCCACAGGACCAATTTTGGGGTCAAGTGTCTTGCCCAAGGACAATATGTATTCAAAATGTTACAATAGTTTCAGTTACAATAGTTCAGACACGCTGCAAATAGCTGATGGGTTTTGTGTTGTGTTTGAATTTGCGTTTTTTATGCAGTACATTACATTACATTGCATTTAGCTGAGGCTTTTATCCAAAGCGACTCACAATAAGTGCGTTCGACCAACAAAATACAAACTTGAAGAAAACAGAATCATATAAGTACATCAGGTTTCATAGAGCAAAAACATTTCAAGTGCTACTCAACTGGCTTTAGATAAGCCAGTCCTTTATTAGTATATAAGTGCTTTGTTAATAGTTCTATCACTCGAAGTGGAGTCGAAAGAGATGAGTTTTCAGTCTGGAAGGTGTGTAAGCTATCTGCTGTCCTGATGTCAATGGGGAGCTCATTCCACCATTTTGGAACCAGGACAGCAAACCCACGTGTTTTTGCTGATGGGAACTTGGGTCCCCTTCGCAGCGAGGGCGCAGCGAGTCGTTTGGCTGATGCAGAGCGTAGTGCACGTGCTGGGGTGTACGGTTTAACCATGTCCTGGATGTACGAAGGGCCAGATCCATTCGCAGCATGGTACGCAAGTACCATTGTCTTGAAGTGGATTCTAGCAGTTACTGGAAGCCAGTGAAGGGAGCGGAGGAGCGGAGTGGTGTGGGAACATTTAGGAAGGTTGAAGACCAAACGAGCCGCTGCATTCTGGATGAGCTGCAGAGGTCGGGTGGCACATGCAGGTAGACCAGCCTGGAGGGAGTTGCAGTAGTCTAGGCGTGAGATAACGAGAGCCAGTAGTATGCAAATCTGGTCAAAAAGCATAATAATAGAACATATCCAGAGTCAGGCAGGATCCTCCGTTGTGTTCAGAGGAAGGAAACAGAAAAAGATAACATGAGGCCGGTTCTTAAGGCTAATAAATGTTTCTTACTGCAACTTTGCTGCTCCAATCCTGAGCAGGATGTGAATAAATCCTTGTGATCCTCAGTTAGCATGTTGCTATATTACGTGAAACACTGTTGGAGTGAGGTCAGCAGAGTTCATGCAGTTGTATGGCTCAGAGATCAGAAAGTGTAGAGCCGTTTCCTCTCCTGGTGACTCCACCCAGTGGCACTGTGCCCCGTGCAGCTGCACTCTGACAGTACAGCACTCACATCCACATACAAAAAACTGCACGTGTTTTAACGAGGACCCCAGACCACACATCACCCCAATTTTGTAATGAAAATATACTTTTATTAACTCAAACATGGAATTTAAAGAAAAGGATTTCCCACTTCCACTCCACACTTCTCTCCACTCCACACTTCTTTTCACCATTCACACCACTCTCTCAGCTCTCTCCGCTCTCTCAGATTACTCAGCACATACTCAGGCGGAACCAAACCGCACCGAACGCTCCGTCTTCATCCAGGCGGCGTGTGAAGATATTAAAGGGAATATTGTATTTGTTTCTCAAATCCCCAACAGCTAACTATCAGAACATTTGAGGTAGACGGGCATTCAATATCCAATTCCTAGTTTTCATTGTTATATTGCCAGAAAGTCTGTTTCTTAATCAGAAAAGCCCCTTTGCTATTTGATTCTACCAGGATAACTATGCCACTAAACAGTTTCTAGTTGATTGTCCTTTTTGACAGATTTTGAGACAATGACAAAGAGGGTTTTGTTACGTATAATTGTATAGCTTAAGTAATTGATGATTACAAATGATTGTATTGCTTTTCTAATGATCATAATCTTTGTGTTTCTCTGTTTAGGATTTTTGTACGTAATCGTTGCTCTTTTATAATATTGCTCTGCTTCACATTTACAAAAAAAACAGTAGTCAGGCAGGATTTCTTTAAAGAGACACTTTTGTTTGGTCATTTAGGATGAAAAGGTGCATGTTATCAAACGTTCACAATGTGGCAAACCTTTTTGTAAATGTTATAATAATTATAATATGTAGCCTGAATACATTCACCGATGGTAACAGTTACATTTACAATCATCAGGTATCAAAGCACTACAGCAATCTCTAAAAACAGGGTACAACGGAGCTGATCCAGATTTGCTGCGGTCACGACGTCATTACTCAAATGTGGCTGGCTTTACGTTGAACTCCTGGCAACGTCCCGCCCGCCACGGGCCTATCATCCCCTATCTACAGGGCTTCTCAAACTCCGGATCGAACTGCAAATCAATCCGGACCCAACCCTGTGTCCCATTTATAAAAAAAAATGTAATTATACAAAATAAAAAAATAAAACCTTTTGGATTCTGATGTAAATTAATGTATATTTTCTTGTGTCTGACGCGTTGCGAGAATGAACGTGCATATATATTTACTTGTGTGCGCGAGTGTGACAGCGAGCCTTGACTTTCTAATGCTTCTAATGCCTTTTTTGCCGAGGTTCAAGGCATTGGCTACAGACAAACTGTACTACTACTGTAGCTATGTTCGTATGACAAATAAAGAACCTTGAACCTTGAACACTCAGAGCTAACCTGTACTGGACAGAGTATGTGTGAGAAAGCAGGAAATAAAAAGATACGACACCTTGTGGTAAACCTGCGAGAGAGAAAAGGTCTGAGTTTTAAATCATAAAATAATCATTGAATATGAACTAGGCCTACATCAAGAAAAATGTCTGGTTAAACCTCTATGGTGTCTTTAAAACAACAATTGTCTGTCTAGTCACTATAGTGCAACATACATTTACTAAAAGTAACTTCTTATGTTGCAATATGCAACATTGGATCTTTCCAAAGAGTTTAAACTAGTTAACACTCGGACAAAATGTCCCTTCAGTCTTCATATGTTAGTTATTTACAGAAACAACTTTACTGTAATTAAATATATTTCATATTTTCCAATATTTGACTGCACTAGCTCGACTAATCGAGTCAGTTCATGGAGCTATGGAGATCTGACGGCTCAAATTGTCCAAAAACGGCCAGGAAAAAAGTTATTTAATTAATTTAAACTCGTTAAACTCTGACATTTTCCTCGATAACTTTTTAGTGAAAGTGAACTGGGTTGAGGTGGGCTCGTTTTTTTCACTGATACCTTGTTCAGTTTAGTAGAAAGCGTCGACTAACCGCTTTGTCCTCCAAAGTCTCAGTGAAATAGTGATTGTGGAACGAGCTTCTCAAGTATATAATACGTAGCTCCATGGCAACCTGCGTCATGCGTCAACGTAACGTGACTGATTGAAAAGTATTTATATTGGATTTGTATTCCCATTTATTTATTGAAATAAATATTTCCTGCTTGTTTAAAAACATACATTTATTGTACAGACCCAATGTATGCACCTGTTGTTTGGATTGACAATGCAAGGATATCAATTAGTATTTCAATCTCGGTCAACAGATGTCAATAGTTTTAACTCATTAAAGAGAGGACATGGAAATGAAATATATTTAGCATTAAAACGTTGGTTTCGAGCTGACAATGTTGCTGAGTGATTCAAGTTAGCCATTTTGGCATATTTATGTCTAATGAGCTACACATCCGACAGAAAGTAGTCCCTCGATCTGCTCTGATAAGCCCTATGTCACCAGTTGATTGAACACATTTCATTTAAACGCTGTGTTACATTACTACGAGCCTCCACATTTGAGGTCACTAACGTACCTGAAAAGACAGCAGGAGAATTAAGGTGAAAGGAGGTCAAACTTCCATATGGCAGGTGAGGAGAGAAGATGCCAGAAGAGACTGAGAAGAGGAGGACAAGAGAAACAAGTTCAATTTGAGTTGAAATATAGTCTGCTGGCTAATAACAGAATCACAGCAAATAAACAAGCAACATTATCAATCAATCAATCAATCAATGTTTATTTATATAGCCCAATATCACAAATGTTACATTTGTCTCAGTGGACTTTACAGTTTGTACAAAATATCAGTATGACAATACGACACCCTCTGTCCTTAGACCCTCACATCGTACAAGGAAAAACTTCCGGAGAAAACCCACAGTTTAAAGGGAAAAATGGGAGAAACCTCAGGGAGAGCAACAGAGGAGGGATCCCTCTCCCAGGACGGACAGACGTGCAATAGATGCCGTGTGTAAATTGAAAAGATAATACATTTGCAACATAGGTAGTCCAAATGTTTGGAAATGCATGTGTGTATAATAGGAAGATGAATCCACGAGGATATCCATCCAGGACCTATGATCCAGGACCACAGCCACGACTCAAGATCCAGGGCTCGCGATCCAGGACAGAGGAGCGCAGGATCATCCATGACTCCGGATCCCGGCGTATATAGACACCAAAAAGAAAGACATTTGGGGAAGCTGGGTTAATCGGAACATGAGAGTACACAGGTATAGACAGAGAGAAGGAAGAAGTAAGTAAGTAATTAATTATAATATTGTACAGTTCAAACTGTAAGCAAAGGTTCAAATGGGATTCGTGAGGAGGGATTATTTCTTCATCAGAAATGAGTTCGTAGAGATAGGAGTAAGGATATTTGAATAGGTCTTTTATTCCCTTTATTTTTACATTTAAGACACCTAGTCTGTTTAAGCTTAAAAGTGTTGGTTCAATGTTAATTATTGACTTTTAGAAACAGTCAGTGGCGGCCGACCCATAGGGGCGCTAGGGCCGCCGCCCCCCATCTTCCTACATTCAAAATTAAAAAAAATTAAAAAATATATATTAAAAAAATATTTTTTTTATTTTTAATAAACGAGGTAAATATTATATAATTGGTATCAGTAAAATGTATAATCTACAATAAAATCTCGTTTAAAATGGTGTTACAATGTCTAAAGTTACTGATAAGTCACAAGTGTCCTGCCTGGCCTTGCCCGTGTATCATTACCCTCTCTCGTCTGGGCGCTATGCACAGCGCCCAGACGAGAGAGGAGCAAGTGCAGCAGAAGCCAACTGTTGCTATCTTTAAATTATGCCGCCGAAACATAATTTCAGCCAATCAGCGTCGTCAAATCTGATGGTCACAGGGGCGCCTACGTCAGCGCCCGGTTGTTTTGACTCGTATCCAAGGAGACAAGGAGGAAGCTGTCATACACTCTGGAAGCTATCATTTGCAGCTATTATGAAAACTCAGTTTTTGACATAAAAATTGAATTATGGATTATCAATAATTTTTTCAAAGTGACAGACACATTGGATTAACCTTCAGCCGCGTTTTTCTCGTTTTTGATCAGAATAACAGCAAAAGGTGAGCATATCTCCGTGTTTTGCTACGTCGTGTGATGTCTGTATTTGCTTCCCCTGTTGCGAGTTTTGATCGCTCAGTGATGATAGTCATATTTCTAGAATCTGTGGAATCTCAGCTTGTTAGCTAAGCTTGTTTGTGCATATCCGATAAGTATATCGATTGATTTATACCTAGAGTGCGTTAGCATTTTTTCACTCAGGGCTCATTTAGACGCTTCTTGTGAGACTTGTGTATTGTTTCGGTAAACATGGTTCATATCATCAGTTACCTGAGTTTCTTCCCGTTAAATGAGTAGAACACATGAATAGTTTATTACATTTCAAGAAGCCCTGAGACAAAGTTTCGTGAGAAAAAAAACGGGGGGGAAAAGCCCCTTAACAGGATAAATGGGAATTAAATCATTTTAACATCACCAGAAGTCATAATTTAAGGGGTCTTTTCTCAATTTTTTTTTACCGGGGGAGCATCCCCCCGGGCCCCCCTAGTATTGTTTGTTCACCATTTCCACAGCCCCACCTAGAATATTTTCCACCAGCTGCCATTGGAAACAGTAGTCCATAGAATAATCTCACCTCAAAATCTGATTAGAAACTTTTCTGGACAAAGATGTTAATCCACAATAGTGGTAATTTTAAAGACTTTAATGGTGCTGCTTCTCAAACAATAATTAAATGACGATTGACTTGAATAGAGGTAATAACTGTTGCCATTCAAAAGCATTAAACTCCGGGAGAATATGTCCCTCTTTCTGAAGATGTAATGATTTCACTTGCCCACTAGATGGAGGTGTTTAACTGAGTATGTTTGACTAGTCTGGGCACCAACAGTGACAGTGCTATAGAAAAAGGTCTCTTCTATAATAGCAGAGGACAAGGAGAATGTTTCAAATAATCAAACAGCCTACACCTGTAACAGTCTTTAGGCACGATTTTACATGGTACAGCTGTACCATGTAAAATGACACCCTTGAGTTGACCCCCTTGATTGGGATGAGTAGCCTAATATCCGAAAATACTTTAAAAACCAATTTACCTAATATTGCAGGGTTATAGTGTAATTGGACTCCATTTATTGTTTGCACCCTTTTACATTATGTGTCAATCAAGCTTAGCAATAGTTATAGTAACCTTCCTTTGAGCTTGTTGACATTTTTCAATTTTATTTAATACAAAAAAACATCTAGTAAAAGCTAACGTTTCAATTGTTATCTTGTTTTTTAATATTTCGCAACAAAAAAGGTCTAGATGCTGCTTTAGAAACGTGCCACACTACCAGGAATAACATTCTGGTCGGCAAATACTAAGTAATCAATCATTCACAGGTAATGGCATAAGTTATGCAAAGAGGGCTATAAAACTACTACAACCAATTTAACTTCTTATGCACTATGTTTCCTAAAAATATCCTCCAGGTTCCTCCTTAATCCTCCATTATACCGGAAAGGTGTATAATATATGGCGTCAGGGACACAATTTGGTAAAAAGTCCTGACTGCAAGCTGTTACTCTTTGGAAACAAAAGCTACGCTTTTATTTTGAATATACACGCTTCCGGTGTCATTTTAGCTAGCTAGGCTAGCGGTTAGCTTGACTCAACAGGGATGTCTCATGGCAGAGTAACAGGCAGTCCCGAAAGTAAAAGCAGTCGCAAAACTCCTCGGAGCTCCGTTGCTACCGTGTGACTACAGTATTCCCTCGTTACGACGTTAACGTAAGATAACAGCCAGTTCACAGACAGGGTAGAAAGTGTATTCTAAGCGAAGGGCTACTTGTGCTGTTGCTACAACTTTGCTCAGTCCAGCCGCTGAGCCTCGACCACACCCTCCCCGCTTCCTCATAGTACGGCAGCGGGAGCGCGCAGCACGTCTTTGAATCTCTGGGAATAACGGCCACTTCTTCCAGCTACGGTTACGCTTTAGTGACTGTGGGACCTCCCAATACAAGTGAGTTAAATGTTCAAATACCACCGACTGGTATGGATATGAGAAGGGAGTTATGCGGGGCTACACTGTTTCTGGTCCCGAGTTAAGACGCGGAGGTGGAGGGCGGACAGACGGACGATGCATATGGAGTCCAAGCGACCGGAGCTACTGCTAGTGTGTAACCCCGGGCTCTGTCTGAAGAAGAAGAGGTTGAAAGTGGATTAAAGGGGTCTGTGTTTTGCAAAGTTGCCCTTGGTGGATTTTACTTGGGAGGACTTATGAAATGATGGTGCTGGAGGGAAACACAAGTCTTCCCGCTGTCCAGAAGAGCTGCCCGGGTGGAGCCCCGTGTGTGTCCAGCATGAGTACACACTCCTCGGGAACGAGTCGGACAGGATCTCGGTGCTGTTTCAGGCTACTTGCTCAGATGCGAAAGGACACAAAATGATATCCTATTGATTATAGTGTGTTTAAAGGCTGCAAAGCCGTCTACTAAATGTTGAGGTTATGTTTTATTGGCTATAGTCCTAAAAAGATCCCAAGAAAAGGCATCTAAAAAAGCTTAGTCAGTTCAACAGATGTAATTCCAATTGGGAATCTTGTTTCTAACAATAAGGAGTTTTTGACATACTTTTATTTTCTCAATCTGCACTTTGCCTTTTAACAGGCACATTGGTGGCACTGCAGTTTGTGTGGTATTTCTTCTCTTAATTCTACATCCTGTGAATTATTCTGTTTCATGAAAACCTGGGACTACGATGACTTTTGGATTATGTTGTTCAGGGCATTCAAATGAATTTGTCAAGATTAGAGCATATAGCTTATTACACTGATAACTCTGAAGTGGTGGGGATTTTGATTGACTGTGTAACTTTGAAAAATTACAAATAACCGAAGCAAATAACCGGGAATATGCTAGATCATAGACCTTTGTTGTAGTATAGTTTAGAGACACGTTTATAATAATGGGGATCATAAGTAAATGCAGTTATTAGGTTTTGCTCTTTTTACACGTTTACATTACATATATGTCCTGTTAGTCTGCATACTCTGAAGGAATTTAAGGAAGACTGTTTGGCCAGTTGTTATTTAAAAAGCAGGGAGTTAAGGTTCATTTAGAAATGTCTAATACAGTACAATGCAGTGTGCAGCAGAGAACTATAAATAACTGAACCCCTCCAGAAGAGCAGTTTGACCCCCCCCCAAACCCCCTCCTTCCACTCCCCTGCTTATTATGGCTAGTGGTGGATCCGGCAAATCGGCTAGCGAGGGATCAACCAGCACACCCGGTGTCAGCTTGCAGCAGAGGAAGCGTCTCTCTTCCATCTGTGACACATGTAAGGGCAAGATGCAGCTGGTGGCCGACCTGCTGCTGCTGTCCAGCGAGACCCGGCCGGTGATGACCTCCGAGGGCGTGGCGGTGGCCGACACCTTCGATCAGTGCCGCGACACGGTCATCGCCAGGACCAAGGAGCTGTCCATCCTCACCCACGACATCCAGAGCCAGCTCAACATGGGCCGCTTCACCGAGGTGGGGGACCGCCTCCTGGAGATGGCCAACCTGGTGGTGTCTCTGACGGAGTGCTCGGCCCACGCCGCTTACCTGGCAGCCGTGGAGACCCCCGGCGCTCTACCCTGCCTTCCGGGCCTGGTGGACCGCTACAAGGTGACCCGCTGCCGGCACGAGGTGGAGCAGAGCTGCAGCGTCCTCAGAGTCACGCCCCTGCCTGACCTCACCCCCCAGCTCCTCCTCGAGCTCTCCCAGAACATCTCCACCAACCTGAAGAATCTGACAGACATCTCGTCGCTCGCCAGCGAGAGGTCCAGGGACCGCTTTGCGAAGGAGCAGTTCAAGCTGAGCGTGAAGAGCATGAGCACGAGCGGCACCGCCTTCCTGGCCTGCGTCAAAGAGGTGAAGAGCCAGCCCAGCGAGCTGACCCGGAGCCGCTGCGTTCTCTTCAGCTCCGCTCTGGTCCAGGCGGTCAGCGCACTTGTGGGCTTCGCCACAGAGCCCCAGTTCCTCGGAAGAGCCGCGAGTATCTCCACTGAAGGGAAGGGGGTACAGACTGCAGTGTTAGGGGGGGCCATGAGTGTGGTTTCAGCCTGCGTCCTCCTCACTCAGGGCCTCAGGGACGTCGCACAGCATCCTGAGAGCAGCTCCAAAATGGCGGACTACCGCGAGCGCCTGCGTAACTCGGCGTGCGCGGTGTCGGACGGCTGCACGCTGCTCACTCAGGCTCTCAGAGAACGCTCCTCTCCAAGGACTCTGCCGCCAGTAAACTCTCATTCTGTGAATTAGTTTAGGCAGAGGCAACGTGATCTCTGTCCTATTCTGACGTACCAAAGAGACTCACCTGGGTTATCCCTGTTCATCAGGTTTAGAGTGACATCAGCAGAAGGCTCTCTGTGGGTCTGTCCATGTGGCTGAAGTGTGTGTTGAGTGCTGAGCAATGAGGGTTTAGTGTCGCGCTGGATGTGGCTCTGACCTTGTCCCGCCCGCTCTCACCAACAGACAGCAGCTTCAAACCTGAAAAGTTTACCTCAGTCTCAGCCCAGAAGATGGATGTCGCCTGGCTGTGTGAACCTATGGTCGTGCTTTGTGAGATTGGAAAAGTGATCTGAGTGTCTAAACGCTTGTTTTTGTTTTGTTCAACGTGTGAATTCTTCATTGGTAAAAAGCTGCTGTGAGTGTGTGCCATAGGTTTTACACTATTTACCAGACTTCCCATAATATTTTTAAGTGTTCTGACCATGCATGTAATGGAGTATTTATTTCAACTATTAAAAATGTTGTTTCTGATATGCTGTTGTTGGGTTAAGTGATTTGAAAAGTTTGCAGGTCTGAGCTAAATAATGTGGTATTCACTACAAAAAAGACATTTGAAACACATATATACTAAAAAGAAATAATTACATATCAATGACAAGCTTTTTTGAAAAATATTTTATAAGGTTTAAAACATGTACCGCTTTTTTTGTTTTGCTATTACAACGTGGCAGACCTTGCTTATTTGAACAGATGTGTGAAGCATTTACAAGCTCCTTAATTCTGGAAGATTTGTATATGTTGTTCTATGTAAAGGGCTTCTCTACTTTATTACATTCATTTGAGTACTGACATGAAATCTGATGCATTACACAGATGTAGTTAAAAGCTTCCTACAAACCTAAGCTACAGGCAAGTGCACAATAACAACATATACATAATGATGTGAAAACTGTTCACAGTTTTACTTCCAGGTCATTATTATGTATTTATTTATTACAACCCTTAAAGTGATTTATGAAAGTTTGGTCTTGTTTACCTGGAAATGCTTTTGAATTAATTGAATGATAGAATGGGGAAATCAGTCGTTGGAACAATAACCTCAGGGATCCCAAAACTACAAGTATAGAAATATCAGGGAAACAGAAATACAAAATTGTGCTGGAAAATGTGTGAGTATTGTAATAAATTATTATTGGATTATTGCAATATGCAAAAAATAGGAATCCTTAATATAAGTTTAAAGGGTGCTAGAATTTGAAAATACAAAACCAGAAAAAATCTGCCCCTTCCTTCAGACTTCCTTACAGAGCCCCTCCTCCAACACACACGGACGCGCACATGACCAATGAGGGCACGAGATAAGTTTGTGCACAGATGGAAGGCTGACAGGCAGGTAGGCCATCCAGTTACTTTAGCCGGCTCAGATGATTGGTCGTGCTTTTTACAGAACTACGGCTTCCAGAGATGAAGTGTTTTATGTATTTATTGTCAAAGCATTTAATATATTCATTGCTATCAGGATGTTAAGAGCATTCCATGGAATATAACAAAAAGTGTATCTGAAATTAATTACATACCCCACCTTTAACTTGATTGATATTCTACTAAGTACATTGCTAAACTACACTAGTGGTTAATTCATTTCGTTAATCAGCAGGAAAATGTATGGACATTCTGATAATCGTTAAATTAAAGAGATGCTTTACATTTGTTGGTTTCAGACTTTCTCTGGAAATCTGGGAAATAGCAACAGGCCTTTTCTTACCATTTCATGAGAACAATCCACTGATTCATATATTTGAGATATTATTAGATAACAAAAATGTTTAGTGTTCACAACGGGGAGGTAATGTATTTCAGAGCCTAGGTAAAGACCAGAGGCCTGTACTACGAATCCAGTTCAACATACCTGGATATGTTTAAGTTATCTGGCTTAACTAACCCAAAACAAACGCGATCTCGCTAAGCGGTCCTACGACGGTTATCAACTCGGTAACTCAAGCCAGAGGGTGTTTCTCAATGTCGAGGAAGGCTGCTCCAGAGCCACTATTTCAAGCATATCGAGTGCCACCGAAGGACTGTTCCAATGTACTTCGTAGCGAGAAATTTCGAGGCTGCACATGTGTTGACTCCGCGGTCTTAAAATCCCCATAATGCTTTGCGTACGGACCAATTTCCAAATCTTTGGCGGAAATCGCGCTCCATTTAAGGCGGGGCCTCGCATATGACGCACAATCAAGAAGAAAAGGTCTAGATCACATGTGTCAAACTCAAGGCCCGGGGCCAAATCAGGCCCTTGGTGGATTTAATTTCATTTCAAACCTTTATTTATACAGATAAATCCCATTGAGATCATTGATCTCTTTTTCAAGGGAGACCTGCTCAAGTAGTTCCACATGAAACATAAAAACATAAATAGAACAACAAAAGGACATCATACAGCATCAAGGACATCATACAGCATCAAGGACATCATACAGCATCAAGGACATCATACAGCATCAATTCCGGCCCGCAGGATAATTTGTCATTACTATTAGATCTGGCCCGCCAGTATATTGCACGCACACCTTCACTCCATCCTGAGGGTCTCCTCAGCTCAGAGCCTGACCCCAAACATTGATGACCTTGCACCCAAGATGAGATGCCAAGTATCTGGCTTGAACTAGCATCACAGAGCAGCACACTGACTTTACATGGATGTTTCCTTCTGCACTTTCTTTCTTGTGACAACAGGGCATGTTTGTTTTTTTCTTTGAGGGAAATAGTTTTGTTGAAGCTGTTGTTGGCCTGTGGAAAAATGTAATCATAAGAAATGACTCTGGAAAAGCTGCAGATAGAGCCATAAGAAATGAATGCAACTGATTATTTAATGTTGTTTTTATTGGCAATAATTAAAGCTTTGTTAGTTCCAGGTTTAATATGTGCAATAAGTTCATTTCAATAAGTTTTGCTATAAACATTGAACCAGTCCGGCCCTCGACTAGCACCCATTTTTAAATGTTGGCCCACTGTGTATTTGGGTTTGACACCCCTGGTCTAGATGATAGGGATTCGTAGTACAGGCCTCTGGTCTTTACCTAGGCTCTGAAAAACATTACCTCCCCGTTGTGAACACTAAAGCTGTAACTAATAATTATTTTATTATCTAATAATAACTAAAATATATGAATCAGTGGATTGTTCTCATGAAATGGTAAGAAAAGGCCTGTTGCTATTTTCCAGATTTCCAGGGAAAGTCTGAAACCAACAAATGTAAAGCATCTCTTTAATTTAACAATCGAGGACGCTTGCTACCAAGCAAGCATCCTCGACATTGAGAAACACTCAGGATGTCTCTGGGTGTTTCTCAATGTCGAGGACGCTTGCTTGGTAGCACATGTCTTCCGAGTCACTTGCTACAGAAGCGAGGCAAGAATACTTCCTGGCATTCGGGAAAAAAACGAAGAGTGGAACAGGCGAGCAAGTGTGCGTCATATGAGAGGCCCCGCCTTACAATTTCCGCCACAGATTTGGGGAAATTGGTCTGTGCTCAAAGCATTGTGGGGATTTTAAGACCGCGGGGTCTACACATGTGCAGCCTCGAAAGCTCTGATTGGTCAGCAGACGGTGCTTTCACTGAGTTGATCTATTATCCTGGAACCAAACCTGCTCCGGACCAGGCTAGCCGTTCAGCATAAGTTACCATGGAGATCTACCCCGGTAAGAGGAGAACCAGCGTCGTAGGACCGGAAACCCAGAGTTAGCCCTGAAGTTACCTCGCTAAGCGAAAATCCGGCTTCTTAGTACAGGCTTCTGGGCCTGTGTGTGTGTGTGTGTGTGTGTGTGCTCCACTGTAAGCAAACAGTGAGCCTGACCTTTGACCTCCCTGCTGAAGGCGGGAAAATGTATAAGTGAAGCATTAAATGGAAACGTTCTCTTATGTAATTTTCTCTCTTATTCTGTATTTTTGTCAAGCCGACAGCATGGCAGTTGGTCCGTCAGGATGAGCAGTAAGTGCCGCTAATTCTCTGCTCAGGTACTGATTTACTATTGCAGAGCAAGAGGGCGCAACCAGCTGACACATCTAAAAGAGCACCATTCAGACCCCCTACTCTGCAAACAATAATTCCTCATCACTCGCACACAACTAGCACCTTAGTAAAACATATTTTCAGATATATTTTTTTTGTTTTGTTTCTTGGTTTTAACACTCAGGATGTAATGCGCTAGTAAAATGTGCATATGCACTGATCGATGGAAACGCAGATCTTCATTGTGTCACAGGCTATTTACATACATTTACATCACTGTTTGTTCTGTTTGCTGATTTAACAACCAAAACACCTATAAGTATTCACTGAATATCTTTCATAACAGTGCAGGTCTTCCTGATATGACTCGAAACAGATTTCCAAGTTTGGTATCCTGGGTTTTGTAAGGAAATTAGAAATTAGTTTTGCACGCAGCCTCACACTATTAAACTAACTAAACAAATGGAATGAAAGAAAGGAGTTCAATAAGAAAACAAAGCAGAAATGTTATAACCATATGATTTCCAGAACTAACTGGACATCATGAGGTCAAAGTAATGAATTTATTTTAAAAAGAAAATTCTCAGGAGAACAGTTAAGCTAAAATAATAAAAAAAGGCAAAACACTTTTTTGCCTTTTTTAAATTATTTTAGCTTTTATTCAAGCAATGTACTGTACAGTATATATAGAAAAACAATTTTAGACTGTCATTATTCATTGTAATTTCGCATAATCACTAACTGGTGTAATATCGCATGACTGTAAATTCTTAATTTACATTTAAGTTGCATTCTGGGATTGTTGGCATAAAGCTGTGAACATGCCATGAACATTAGTTTTTCCTTTATGGCTCTATATAAAGAATACGTTTCCCATACCTAACATGGACACTCAGATGGAAGCCAATATAGTGCAGTTTATAGAGCAGGTTCAGAGACAGAGGTTCTGCTGCTTATGGAGATAAGTGAGGAATTGGCTTACTTTGACAATATTATTTATCATACATAAATTATAAGGATGAAAGGTTCAAATCTCCGCTCACTTACAGAATCTTTGGTCAGAGTTGACAGCTTCTAAAAAAGCTTATGAGTGGACCATGAGTAAAGACTGCTGTCCATTGACAAGAAGGAACTATGTAAGGATAATGTGCATCAAGGATCAGGATCTGTGATCCGGCTGTTCTTTTTCCAATAAAGACCGCCTTGGTGCACATTATCCCGCTTATTACATGGCCACAAACTAACGCCTTCACTCCCAATATTAAATTAAATGTATATTAAGAAATAAATGACATCTTCATTTAAATGAAGGCATTGATGTTTTCTGTGACTCTCGAAGTCTGTTCACAGTTTCTGTTCCACTAACAAGTCCTTAAACACTGCAGAGCCCATACCGTGTTCCTGTTTGTGTGTGTTATCAATGACCGGCTCACTGCACACTATCCCTTCTGGTTCAATTTCTAATGAAATTATATTTTCTACTGCACTCGCGTGCTATAGCACACTCCTGAACATATATT